TCTAAATTGTCCCTAGGTGTGAGTGAGAGAGTGAATGGTTGTTTGTCTCATTTGTCTTTATGTGTCCCTGTGATGGACAGGAGACCTGTCCAGGGTGTCCTTTGCCTCTCACACAGTGACAGCTGGATATGGACACTAGTGACCCCCTCGACCCAAAAAGGAAGAAGCAGGTAAAGATAATGAATGGATGGAAGGTGGCTGCCACAATTTTTTTCCACTTAGTGTTCCCCCACCATTACTCAAAGATGGTGCTTCACCCTTGCAGCAAAACCAATCACCCTGCCTAGTGCCTACTGACATCCCCCTACATACCCCCTCACCGCAAAAAACGGAAGTGTAGCAGAGATTGTTGCTAAGGATCGGTCACCACAGAATAAGTGGCTTTGACATGCTCAAACCCTGAAGAAGGAAAAGCCAAAAGAAGATTGTTTGCACTTTGAGTATATTGGTCTTTGATTTATTGCAGTCCAAACCATTCTTTCAAATATTAATGTGATAAAAAATATTTTATATAATTGTTTTGACAGATTGTGCAGCCCTTTTTTTTTCCAGCTGCAAGTTGATACATTGATGAAAACCAGTAGAGATTTAGTTCAGATTAGATGAGTAAATCACTTTTCAGCCTTTTTACCATGTCTTAATTAAAGTGGCACTAACTTTCTTAAACTGAACTCAAATAAAACAGAATTCCTCCATGTTGGCACCAAGTCTACCCTATCCAAATGTAATAGTTTCACAATTAAAGTTGATGATTCCACAGTTTCTCCCTCCTCTTCAGCTAAGAGTCTGGGTGTCATCCTTGATCTTTTGAATCTCATGTCAATAACATTACTCGGTCTGCATGTTTTCATCTTCAAAACATCAACCGTCTCCGTTCATTTCTTACCCCCACCAGTACAGCCATCCTTATCAATGCTCTAGTCACCTCTCGATTAGACTAACTAACTCCCTCCTCTCAGATCTTCCTCTCAAAACCATCCATAAACTTCAGCTTGTTCCAAACACAGCTGCCTGGATCATCACTAGAACTACATCGAAGGAACACATGACCCCTATCCTTAAAGATCTCCACTGGTTACCCATAAAATATCACATCAACTTTAAGAGTCTCCTCCTCACTTTCAAAGCTCTCCATAACTTGGCACCTCTGTACTTCACTGATCTTCTTTGCTATTACACACCTGCCCGAAGTCTTGGCTCCTCTCTATCCATCTCTCTTGTTATACCTCCTGCCAGCTTGACACCCATGGGATCCAGAGCCTTCTCCCGCAAAGTCCCTCATCTCTGGAACTCTCTTCCACACCACATCCGTAATTCTGACTTTCTGCTCTTATTTAAATCTAACCTTAAAACTCTTTTTTTTTTTTCAAACTTGCTTATTCTGTTTAACGTCATTATGTATTTTATCATTATTAGCATTTGATTTTATTGATATCTGCATTTTATTGTTTTTATCTTGTATTTCTTGTTTGGTGACCTTGAGTGTTTTGAAAGGCGCCTTCAAATAAAATGTATTATTATTATTATTATTATTGACGCTTTGATACCAACACCTTACAAAATAATCCAATTAAGAACATTATAGGTAATAATTTTGGCTGCTTTTGTTTTCTACTGTAAACTAGTTCCATATATCACACACATGATCTTGCCATGGTGATTACTCACCAGTGATTTTTACGCCATAATCAAAATAGTTATAAAATCTTAATATAAAGTTTATGTAATTTTGCAAACCATGTCCCAGTTGAGAATAAAACTTTGAGAGTCTCAGTTTATTTATCTGAAATAACTAAAGCATTCAAAGCAGAATCACTTCTTTTCCTGGTCTAACTTGAGCCGTAGCGTCATGGTGTCTTACGTGTGGAGGGTCAGATTGACATGAGACTGGATCAGGGGGTGCAATATATTCAGAGCCCAGAAATCTAGCTTGAATATGCAGTCTTTTTCCAGCAAGCACTGTTATGTCACCAGTGGCTGTCTGCCCTTTATAGGAATGTACACTAGCTGGAGAGGGCCCGGCGAGAAAGAGAGCACCCTCAGTACTGCCTGAAACACGATGATGCACACACACACACACATACACACATCCCAGTTTGCCATGGCAAGAAAACTGAGTGTACTTGCAGCCTTTCTGGATCGCCTCATGATGTTAGACATTTTTTTAACTAGTTGTAATTAAACACAGTTTCGATAGAAACTTATCAAATGTGGCAACATCATTTCTTTACATCAAACTGTTTGAAACGGCCATGTTGTAGTGATGAGCACTGCTGAAACTGCGGAAGTTATTTTGAGAGTCGTGGTGGGTAGGACGGGGTATCAGGGTTCAGGTAGAGGTAGAGAAGAATTTAAGAGTGATGGGGTGAAGCCCCCCCACCCCCACTAAGATCAGACTTGCAGATTGTTGTTCTTTTCTTAAAACCTTTTCTGATCTAATCACCTACTTTGTCCATCCCATTAAGGGCCCAGCACACTGTATCCAAAACCGAACAGTCGACTTGCGGTCGGACGTGGTTGCGACACGTTCGTTTTCGCACACACCTTTCATAGTCCACGAGACACACAGCGCAGAGCTCCCCTCCCGCTGCAATATCACTGCAGTGTTTCTTCCCACCAAGGTCTCCACTCCATCCCTACATCCGTCTTTTGACCACAAATCTGTCATGAAGAGAGCGCCACATTTCTCAGCAGACAGACTCCTCCATGTACAATGTCTGCGCGATCTCCAGCCAGGAGTTTTTGAACATTTGACTATCTCCGTGTGTCTGTAAGACTTGTACAGATGAATGTCCAAGCGCATTTCCACATTGACAAAAACACACTACTTGGACACTCCTGCAAGAAAAAGGTTGGTTGGGCCTTGTGTCAAGAAGGGGTGTGCAAAGGTACTCTGAGAACAAAATGACACAATTATTGTCACTCACCTACGTCAATGAGAGCTTCAGATGGAGTATGCAGGCCCTGTCCTTATGGGTACACCAAAACCTGTTCCCAGTATGGTGGAACAACATTTTTGGGTTAGAAGTTAAGATTTAGGACTAAGATGTGGACTGAGTTTCATTTCGGGTTATTCACGCACTGGTGACTAACCTGAATAATAGCACTCTATTGCTAGACTTAGATCAGGGTTAGGCTCCAGAAATGAATGGAAGTAAATACAATGGAAAGAGACACAAACTGTGTGTGTTAGCTCTAGTCCAGTGTGATAGTCATACTGGCCACAACCACACCTCCAACTCCTGTTTTACCTGCACTGTGTTCTGCCCACTCCCACCCACACTGCTCAGGACTGCATGTACAGTGGATGACGAGGCAGCATGAAGGGACTTCGTCCTGGCTACTCCAGCCTTTGTCTTTGGTTACTGTTGTTAATAGGCCTTCATGATATGTCTTTGTATGAAAAAGTGGTTGTTAAGAAGATTCCTCTCTTTAATCCATTATAAGAAACACAATACAATTAGCTTAATGTTGTCTTTTCATTATAATGCTGCACATGCATTCAATCTGATAATGTTTATAAAATAGTTAAAACTCCAGCTTTTGTACAGGGCTCATGGATGAACCGATGGCAGTAAGGTTACTTCAACCTTTACGCTCTTATCGCAAATTCAAAACACAGTCGGTCTGTTTGACCCTGTGGTTTTGTTGGAAAAATACCAAATGTTTTGGGGTTTTTTATAGTTGAGAATCAACAGCTTCATCACTTTTATTTCTGGAAATTATCCAAGTTTGTAAAAGAGATCTTTGTATAAAAGATAACCACAAACTCAGCAAATATAGAGTTTTACTGGCTGATTACTGGTAATTCATTTGCAGGGGTCAACATGAGCGGTTTCCATTTGTCCGAGACGATCTGCTTTCCTCTCATAAAACCAGATCTCTCCTCGAGGTTGTCTGGTCAACAACCAAGAGAAATAGACATGAATTAAAGTTTTCAGTCATCGCGACTGACTTCTGTCATTTGAAAAAATAAATAGGGGTGAAAAAAAGTGTTTTCAACCATCCCAATTTGGGCGGGGAAGTCCCAGATTTTGCCCTGGTCCCACGTCCCATGTGAGGAGGGTTGTGACACCCAAATGTCCCACAGTAGACAAGAGCTGGCTGTGCTCACCTGTTCATGCTGTGTGTGTGGGAGGGGGGACACAGAGGGGTTGTTCCACAAGCGTCCTGCAGCAGCAGGAGTCAGGTTGACATAAAATGTCTATATTGGCTGTAAGGTGCATTTTTCAGCTTTCATGGAGTTTTTCTGATAGCACAAATTATCACAAAGTTGCAGTAATGCAAAGTGAGCTTGAAACAAACGTCATTGATGCTCAGAAAAAAGAAACATTTTGTTGTTGAAGTTCAGGTATGTTTACTCATTGTTGCAGCCATCAACCATCATTCATTAGGTTGAAAATCTTTGCTAATTAGTGTGCGTGTGTGTGTGTGTGTGTGTGTGTGGCCACAAGATGGCTGACTGAGAACATTAGTGTACAGTAAACTTTGTATTTAGTGCAATATACTTGAGAAATTACATTTTTCTTAAGATTTTTTGCCTTTGTTCTTTTAAAGGTTGTGTAAAACCAAAAGTACTGGCGTTCAACCAGATGTTGTCTCGTTTCCTTACTTGTACCTCTGATTTGTAGTTTGGAGGTTTTCTTGGCCTACATTAAGCTGCAGATTTCTGCTAATCTCAATTTGTCTTTCTGTGTTAAATCTCTTGCTTTTGTGTAAACAAGTGTACAAGCTACGAGCTAAATTGTTTTTATGGGTTTTTTCTACTCTGGAGTTATTTTATCTGATTAAAAGTAAAAGTTAATAAAATAGGGTTCATTTTCCTGTTAGAATCTAATTGTATTCGTTTTTATTGACTGCTCATGTACTACCACACAGCTTCACTCCCCTGCAGTGACTCTAGGACTGTAGCGATGGCATTTGAAGATGGGAAACCTTGCCCTGTTTGTTCATTTCTTTTCTTATTAGGTTTTGTTTCTGACATTGTTTTTTTTCTTCAGGTCTACACACAATGAAATGGAAAAGAACAGGTATGTAATAAAATCTTCCTATTTGTGTTTGGGTTTACATGTTTGTGCTGTTCCTGAATCCATGAATAGTGAAACACAAGTTCAGTTTCACAGCATCCAAATTCTGAGTCTGACTTGTCACAGGTGTCTCCAGCACATTTCACGAGCTCTGTGGCTGTTTTTTTGACACCTAGCTGTCCTCTGACTGAACCCACCCAAGAATGTTCAGGTCTAAAAATCACACCAGAAATGGATAGTTATTGATGAACTGGTCCAAATCTGCTCGTATTCATTTCAAATGTGTGTTCCAGTAGAGGGTGGCTGCCAAGGTGGGTACAAAGCATGTTTAGTGGGGTATGATGTGGACGGGGATGGGCAACAAAATAATGTGCATGGCCTGACATTTCTAGAAGACGTTCACATGATTAGTCTATGATTTTCCAAAACTGGCAACTCTTAACGACGACCATTTGGCTCTCTTGATTGCAAACATCCAAAATGTATTGAGAAAGCGTCTGAAAATGTGCGTATATTCTTGAAATAGTGAGTCACCAACATCTTCTACAGTCGTAGCCACGGGATATGCTAGCTTTACTGTAAGTTTTGGGATTCCCCTGAAAACAGTTTTCTTAACTTGGATTCTTTCTTAAAATTGACCTCAGACTTAACAGCATCATATCATCAGATGTTTACCAGTAGATACATAATTTTAAGGTCAATAAAATCAACTGTTTTGTATGTTGAGGTTTCTCTAACAAGGTTGAGTCAGGTCCTCTGGACAGAGTCTTCTTTATTGAGATGTTTCGTCTTTCATCCAAAAGACTTCTTCAGACTGAGGAACCACAACAAACTCGGTCTTATTCATTGGCAGTAACAAGCAGCCGTCATTGATTGGTCGCTGGGCTGACGGTTCTCCTTTTACAGGTGGACAGTTAGTTTTAGCTTTCACCAACAAACTGGCTGACCCACTATGAGAAGGTGCTTTATAAAACTGAGTTTGTTGCATGTTGAGGTACGTTTTTAAAACCAGAATGTGTATACCCTCTGGGTCATATAGGCGTTAGATTTTTAAAATCACTCAAATAGAATTGATCTAAAAAAAACAATTATTGTGGAGTGTTTTGTTTTGTTTTAAAAAGTCTTTTGATATTTAAGCACTTTAAGCTCAGCGCTTCAAAAGGATTCACTTTGTCCTCCTGACACTTGAACAAGCACATGAGGTGTGTTTGTTGGATCAGCTGATTCAACAGGACCTTTGAATGACAAACAACTGTCCAATGAAACAACACAAGAACCGTCTTTACAAGAGTTCTTCAAAATCTTAAAGAGCTGAAGATTTATCATTCTACAAGACAAATATTTACATGTCAGTAACTATTAAGACGTGTATTTTTTTCAAACAGAGACCGTGCAGGTCTCTGAAGATGGGGAAAGGAAGATCGTTAGCTTTTATTTGAAAAGAAAACTGAGTGGGATAGTTGATCTGAAACAACAGCTCAGTAGAATGGGCTACTGTTTCCTCAGTCTGCGTTCAGTACTTTGTGGTCCTGTACACCTCGAGTCCAGTAAGTTAAAATTATAACCACATGAGAATATTTGTATCAAGTTTTTCAGAAATACGGTATCAGACGAGCAGTAAATTAGTCTGTTGAGTAAACAAAAGGCGTACAAGCGAGACCCACCTCCCTCTCTTGAGCTCACTGAAATAACCATACAAACATTTAGACTTTCTGTGGTCGCCCATAGAAACCAGAGCATGCCTGTCTGTCTGTGTGCGCCTGTTTACTTCCATGTAACTTGACTCCAATCGCCACCACAGTTTCTTCGCACGCAAGGTTTTCTGTGCTGGCCATGGCCACCCTCTTTGCGGGGTCAGAAGGTGAACACAGAGACAGTGAGGTGATTTACTGCTGGTGAGGCAGAGTTCTCCAGCTGACCTAAATGTAGCGCTGAGGAGATAATGGAGCTGATTTTAGCTGCAGGGAATAACACAGCTGTAGCTGGTTGCCATACTCTCTGTAGACAATAACCATACGTGTTCAGTTTGAAACTGGGTTCTGTGTTTCGGCTGATAAGGCAGCAGCTCCACGTACATTCTCACCTATTGACACAGTAAACCTGAATAACCTGCTGCTGACGGTGTGCTTCAGTTCTGCTGCTGTTTGTCTCACCGACCTCTGACCTGTGCTGTTTCAGGCGTCTGCTGCTCATCAGTGTTGTTTAGCAAACATTAGCTCGCCCTGCTGATCCCTTATTATGTCAGAACAACACGGGTGGGGGCATTTCCTTGTTATATAATGGCACTCTGGACGCCCTTTGGACTGAGTCAGCTGTGAAATAAACACTTGTTTTCACCTGCTCACTACAGCTCTCTGTGTGCGTGTGTGCACGTACAGGCACACGTACACTCTGCGTATGGAAGGGATTCAGTCCCTCTGCCCACATTCAAATCAGTCATAGATCTCTGTGTGCTCAATTTGAATAAGTTGTTCAGGCGCTGACGCTCACATCAGCCCAGAGAAGACAAAAGCACATTTGAGCACTCGCAGTCAGGAAGAGCCCGATGTGCACGAGCCCACTCACTGAGGAAACACAAGCACACAGGCACGTACACACTGGTGACGAGGCTGGAGCTGGAGGTGTGTGTTGTGTAACTGTGGGGTCAAGTGGCTGCCACCACCCACCAGACCTGAGGAACTGCCAGTTGGATTAGAGCTGCTGCAGGAACTCATCAGGGACGAGAACTGGAAACCATTTATGTGGGAGTGGGGCTGGGGGGAGGGCTGGTCTCAGGACTTTTCAAGCTTTGCACATTATTCCCCCCATGACAAACTATAGGTAGAAGCCAAATTTGATAAATGTCTTTTTTTAAAACCTTCTTGAATTTATTTAAAATCTTTAAAAAATTAAAAGCACTGGCATTTGCTTGAAGAGGAAGAGCCTGCATGACATGTCGTGGCTCGTGAGGGAAACACGTTTTATTACATAACTCGGTTTTTGCGCTTGCTGCCAAAAGACAAAGGCAGACAATAATGTTTTCTTTCCAATATATTTGTGTGTTCATGTGCCTGTCTGTTAGCAAAATATCTCATGAACCACTGGATGGATTTTGATAAAACTTGTGAAGTAATCATTTGATGTTCATCTACAAGTGACTTATGTTTGGAGCCAGTCCACTTTAAGATGGTCACCACAGCTAAACAACTTTAGCCAACACGAGATTGGCTTTTGATCAGTTTTAAAGATAATGAACAAAAATTTGATGTACAAACCGGATTCCAAAAAAGTTGGGACACTAAACAAATTGTGAATAAAAACAGAATGCAATGATGTGGAGGTGCCAACATCTAATATTTTATTCAGAATAGAACACAAATCACAGATCAAAAGTTTAAACTGAGAGAATGTATCATTTTAAGGGAAAAGTCTGTTTTTTCCAAATTTCATGGCATCAACAAATCCCCAAAAAGTTGGGACAAGTCCATTTTTACCACTGTGTGGCATCCCCCCTTCTTCTTACAACACTCAACAGACGTCTGGGGACAGAGGAGACCAATTTCTCAAGTTTAGAAATAGGAAGGTGCGACAAAGAAGGTCCAAGACGATTGAACAGTTAGAGGCCTGTATTAGACATGAATGGGAGAGCATTCCTATTTATGATGCACCAAATGTTCTCTATAGGTGAAAGATCTGGACTGCAGGCTGGCCATTTCAGTACCCGGATCCTTCTCCTACGTAGCCATGATGTTGTGATTGCTGCAGAATTTGGTCTTGCATTATCGTGTTGAAAAATGCAGGGTCTTCCCTGAAAGAGATGACGTCTAGATGGGAGCATATGTTGTTCTAGAACCTGAACATAGTTCTCTGCATTAATGGTGCCTTTCCAGACATGCAAGCTGCCCATGCCACAAGCGCTCTTGTAACCCCATACCATCAGTGATGCAGGCTTCTGAACGGAGCGTTGATAACAACTTGGGCTATCCTTGTCCTCTCTGGTCCGGATGACATGGCGTCCCAGTGTTCCATAAAGAACTTCAAATCGTGACTCATCTGACCACAGAACAGTCTTCCATTTTGCCACACTCCATTTTAAATGACCCCTGACCCAGTGCAAACGTCTGAGCTTGTGGAGCTTGCTTAGAAATGGCTTCCTCTTTGCACTGTAGAGTTTCAGCTGGCAACGGCGGACGGCACGGTGGATTGTGTTCACTGACAATGCTTTCTGGAAGTATTCCTGAGCACATTCTGTTATTTCCTTGACAGTGGCATTCCTGTTTGAGGTACAGTGACTTTTAAGGGCCCAGAGATCATGAGCATGCAGTAGAGTTTTACGGCCTTGACCCGTACGCACAGCGATTGTTCCAGATTCTCTGAATCTTTTGATGATGTTATGCACGGTTGATGATGATAACTTAAAAGTCTTTGCTATTTTACGCTGGGTAACACCATTCTGGTATTGCTGCACTATATTTCTGCACAACAATGGTGGAATTGATGATCCTCTTACCATCTTGGCTTCTGAGAGACACTGACACTCTGATAAGCTCTTTTTATACCCAATCATGTTGTCAATTGACCTAATTAGTGTTAATTGGTCTTCCAGCTGTTCGTTATATGCTCAATTTCCTTTTTCCAGCCACTTATTGCTACTTGTCCCAACTTTTTTGG